AAGGGTTTTCTCAAATCGTTCCTTATGGATTTAAAAAACAAAACAAAAGACAACAATGTTTGAACTTTGAAGGAATGTACTGGAGTGGAAGCAATTTAAAAAGATGAGTTATCCAAAAGCTAAAATCTTCATTTTCAAATGGCTTTTACTAACAAAACTGAAAAGAAAACAAAAGCTAGGCTATGTTGGGTTGCCTCTGTGGTACCTTATTTACAGTTGTGACTTTATAGTGGTTCTTAACTATCTATTTCTCTCTACTATTTATGTGTTTAAAAAGTATCTGGGAACACAGTAATTACTTGCAACCCTCTAATCACTTTATGTAAAGACCTTTTGTAAATATACTTGGATTTTCTGCTGACTAATGCTAGGTACTGGAAATCTAAATCTTGCGGTGTAGTTTTCATATTGGAGAATGAAATCCTGATTGGCTGTATTCATCATTTGGTTTCTTGCACTCACACTTTCAAGATGCTTGTATGTCAAGTGATGTTTGCAGATTTAAGGCAAAACTTAAATGGACACTGACTCTTTGAGCTGCATACTTAAAGTACTGTGATGTAGATAAACTAAATGCAGTGCGTATCAAGACAGTGTTGACATTTTGTTCCATTTAGCTTAATGCATTGTATGTGTACGATACCTCTTGAAAAAATCTTTTCCCTTTCTTTTCATGGGTAAAGTCTCAGGAGTTAGTATATGATGAAATATTTATTACAAAAATCTTTCTGCATTTGTCTGGATTGATGGTGTAAGGCACATACTTTCTCTAGCACCTCCGTCTTGGGAGTTAGGTGTATTTTTTTATCTGTGATTCTGTACTCATCTCTCTTAAGAGGTATACAGTTGCTAGATGACTAACTTTCATATAACCCCTTTGGAATGTAACAATTAAAGATGAAACTGATTTTTGAAAAATGGATGTGCGTTATCTGTATGTCATCATTTTTCTTCCTCATTACCCTGCATGTAATTTCCATCTATAAAAGCACTTCTCTGAAAATGCTTTGAGGTAAAAATATCCACTTGCTCAGTGCTTAGATGAAGGAAAGAAAGGCTCACCAAATTGTTAGCTGAAAAAAGTTTTTAATCCCTGACTCAAATTTAGCTAAGCCTGTGGAGTTACATTATAAAACTGTCTTACACATTTTTCAGTTCCAGGGTGGAAAGAAATGGTACATGGAACAGTACTGTATGTTGCCAGGTGCAGTTTTGGCTTGCTAAGCCCACAGCTTGGGGGACAGAGTAGCATGGGAAACAAACTGTACCTGTACATGTAGCTCTGCTACGTCAGGGATGGAAACACACCTGCCCGTGACAGCATTTGACTGACTGCAGCTCTTCTGCAGAAAGAGCTTCACTCTCTTGTCAGTGCTGTAGTCTTCCCAAAGGTGAGTTAATCTGGAGGGAATTACAATGAGTGGCTAATCGGTAGCAGCACAGGAATCTTTCTTTAAATTAAAAAAAAAAAAAAAGCAGCACAAGCAGATTGACAGGACAAAGAAAAATAATCCAGACTTGGGTTCAGTTACTGTGCTCAACATCCCACCCTGTTGAGTTGATAACTGTTATGACAGTGATGTACCTAGGGTCCCCTAAAGAAAAAGAATGTCACTTGCTTGTTGGATACATCCCTGTCTACCAGTTCCAGTAGATTTCTACCCCTTGGCTGCCTTTCTGATGAGGCCTGAAGCTGGTGTGGGAAGGAGGATGTGGCCCCACACAAGGGCATCAGAAGCAGAATGCTTCCTTTGGCTGACAGTCCCAAGAAGCCAAGACTGGGTGTGAGTAGCTCTCTTGGTAGTACATCAAGTGTTTCCAACCTTACAGTGACTTCTGGAAGTTTTAAGCTAAACTGGTTTGGCTTTGGGGTTTTTGTGTGGTTTTACTTTGATCAATAGAAGGGCCAAATAGTGAGATAGTCTAAAGTGTCAAGGTAATCCTGTAAAATGTGGGGGTTTTGAAGTTGTGTCCTTTTTCCTTGCCCCTGTACAATCGGACAGCTATATACTGACATATGTAGCATCTATATATATTTGATTATACAGACAGATTGCTCCATACTGTGTTTTTAAGTTTAAACAGAACTTTAAAACAGTTGTCTTGCTACTGATTGCTCACTGTGTTCAAATCTTGTCTACCTCCATAAATGCTTTATTAGAGACCTTTTATATAGTGTTATACTTCTTAACACTAAGGGAATTTGCCGAAAAAACAGCTATAATGAAGATTAAATTTAAGGGTATGAAGCTAACTAATGTGTGTCCTCACCTCTAATCTGGAGACAAATCCATCACAAGTTTCTTCTAAATCATATTTTCTGTGTTTAAAATCACCCTATGAAATTGAGTTTGCTTATGCCTTGATGGTAAGTATTTGACTAAATTCTAGTTGATTATTCTGTTTAGACATTGAAGTATGAAATGCCAATAAATGAAAATACTGCTTTTGTAAACTGTAACAGAATACACGCAGGAAGTAAACAAAGTACATTCCTGATTACTTTTTCGGCTAACCTGGTTGTGTTCAATGCAGTTTTAAAATTTCTGGCTCTTAATGCCAAGTTTTGTTGCCATCATAGCTGTGGTGTGGGTGGAAAAGCCAAACCAGAAAAGAGCAGATCTAACTGTAAGCTACTTTGCATGTTGTCAATTGACTATAAATTGCAGCAGTCATTGACTCAGTGGAACAAGCTACATAATTCAGGTAAGAGTCTTGCGTATTGCTGTATCTAGCAACAGATCTTCACTGAGCGTCAGTGTTTTTGTAAATCGTTTCTACCAGCTATTCAGTAACAGTGCTTCTGTAGCTTTTTAATGAATCGTGTTTAGTATATCTTATTTAATAAGGTGTAAGAAAAATGGAACAATAACTTATTTTTTAATATCATTCAGATATTTTCAGGTATTATTCATCAGTCTTAAAATAACACATCTTGTTTCGTTGGATTTTACTTTCATCTGAAGATTGGTGAGTCTCTAGTCTAAAAGGAAAAAGATCCTAACACTTGCATTTTGTGCTTTGTGCAGGTAGTAAGGCAGCAGGTAACTGTTTTATGTAATGCTGTTGTGCAGCAGAAGTGTCAGTACTGAGCAATAAGTACTGCAAGTATTTCTTCTTGAGGGGTGTTGGTTTTGGCTTCTTGCTCTGTAGTGATGTTTTGCTATGAAGTTGTTTTTTTGCTATGTAACAGGCTTTTTTTCCTCAGGCAATGTTTTTAAGTTGTTAGCAGTAGGAAGTTTTTAGGAAATAATGCAACCTGTGTAAGTAGGAAAGGGAAAGATGACTCTCTATCTTTCCATTTCATGACGAGTGTACATGTTCACCTCTGATTTCGTGCGTGCAAAATGGATGTGTGTGTTCATGCTTTCAGCCTACCGAATTTTGTGGCCTACAGAAGTATCCGCTTAAGATGCGTGTGACTTTGTCTTGTCTAACAGCATGCTATAAATGAATTCTTAACTCAGGATTTCTGTTGTGAGATCTGTGAGACAACACTGCATAGGTTTTGATAGAGTATCTTGTGAGGATACGGCCGTACTGAGTACAAATTCTCTCTGTATTAAATGTGGCAGGTACGAAGTCATTAGAAAATGTTAAAATATCCCCATATCCTTGTGAAGGCTTAAGGGGATCCCATTTATGTTATGGAACTGTGATCGGAACATTTGGAGCTTTGCAAGGTTTTTGTGAGTATGGAATCTAGGTACTGCTAGTAACCTAGTTTAATGTGTTTTCCATTTTAGAGGGTGTAATATAACCGAAATGTTTTAGACAGCAATGTATAGACATGGAAATAGATGGTGAGTGATAGCATTCTGTGTAGGCAAGTATTGCTTGCAATCAATGAGGATGGCACAGTAATTCTTTAAGAGTTAACTAGTTATTTAAAATTAATTTTTAAGTAGCTATTAGGTAATAGTTGTTACAGTTATGATTATATTTAGCTGTTTGAATAATGATACTGAGAAGACACTATAACGTAGCTTCCTATAAAACACCGCAAGTTTGTCTTTCTAGTAAATACGTAAGGGTGGGTTGAGTAGTTACGCCTGCTGTAATGCTGCTCTGAAGAGAGGGTATGGGCTTTCAGTAGGCCAGTCCGAGTTCCAGGTTTCTAGCAGTGCCCCAACGCCTGTGTGCAGTCCCTTCTTAGTAAAATAATTTCTGATTGGAAAAATATTATTAGGACAGGCATTTTTTCATTTAATAAATCGATTATTTCATGATCCTCTTTCAGTAGGGTTGTATTTAGTATTTCATATCTGTGTTTAATCTGCAGGTGAGTGCAGAAGAAGCATAAGCACCCATGGAGATGCTGGGTTTAGCTGAAATTCATCCTCCAAACCTTTTGTAAACCTTTGTATAGAATGGGTGTAATGTCTCACAGACATAAAATTAAGATTAAGATCCATTCCCTGCACAAGTTTTCTATCTAATTAAGATAGTATAGTGAATGAGACATCAAATGAATAGAGAGAAAAAATAATTTGTCTTTAAAGGCTTTTTGGTATAGATAGGCAGTCTGTTACTGGAACTGGAGATTTTATTTTTTTTTCAGGGAGGAGAAGGGGGTGGAGAGAATGCCTCAGATCTTGGCCTGTTTTGTTTATTGTCTGTAGAGATGTAAGTTTTGATGGATTTGGAGCAAGCTAGCCCTATGTGGAGAACATAAAGGTAGATTCTCTTCGTTTCTAAGGCTGAGGTGAAAGGAGACTGCTGTTTCCTTTAGGAATCTTTAGTGGCTTTATTTTCTTAAAATCTGTTGTGAATTATTTTAGTGTTGCTGACTTGCACTTTATTGTACTTTCAATGGGACATTGTCTGCTTTATGTAATGATCTCTCTATATTGTTCTGAAATGTCACAAATGCATTAAAAGTCTCTTCTGGAAAATGCCAGTAATGCCAAGTGTTGGTAAGTCCAGGTGAGATTTCTTTTTTTTCTTCTGTTCAGTATGAGTTGTTTAAACTATTATGTAATTATGCATTTCCAGGTTAAATGCAGAGCCTGATGGATGGCAAGAGCTGTCGTAACCTCATGGACAAGTTGTCCCTCTGTACTGAGGCTCAGCGCATACAGCTGGCGAGGCCTTTCTGTGTGGACCCAGGGGTCACGTTCCACATGTACCCAGAAACACCAAACCAGGTCACTTGCTCTGAAGATTTGTCGTTCCTTCCTTTCATGTCTGAGCATCTCATCGCGGAGAACTTCTACAGTGAAAAAAAACCAAATGCCCCATTCCAGTTACCACAGAAGTGAGTACTCCTACGGGCCAGCTTTCATCAGAAAGAGGAATGAGAGGGAAAGACAGAGGGTTAAATGCGTCAATGAAGGATACGCTAAACTGAGGCGTCATCTACCTAAGGAATACATGGAGAAACGGCTCAGCAAAGTAGAGACACTCCGTGCTGCAATCAAATACATTAACTACCTACAGTCTGTTCTGTACAGCGATTCTGTGACGGCAGAAAAAAATGTCATGGAGCCAAACCAAGCGCCTAAAGCGATTAACAAACAAAACCAGTTTTTGAAGACGATCTAAACTGTTCCAAACCAAGCAAAAGGTGTCCTGTCTGGGGACCTAGTAGCCACCGTATTACTGATGCCGTGCATGTTCCTGCCTCATCATAGGAGCAGATCATAACACACATCAGTATCAGCCCAGACAAGAGGGTTTTAATTTTGCAGATAGTAACTACACTTAGATGTGAAAAAGACAACTGGGGAAATCTCACCTGAATGGCTTTAGTTAGTTATTTCATGGAAATGGGAAAACATTTCTAAAATTGTCACCAAACCAGAAATGTAACACCTATATGTGCGAAGTAACTGTACGTATCATCACAACCTGCATGCTTTAAAATAAAAATCCTTCCACTGAATGGCACTGAAATTCCTCTCATTTTCTGTAGTGCTACTGGTTTACACTCACATGTACTGTCGTAAAAGAGTTTTGGTCTAATTGCCAGTGTTTCTTTTAAAAGGCCTTTTTAAAAGTTCCAAGGAATGTTGTTAAATGCCAACAGGATAACAGTTTAAAAGGGGGCAAACAAAAAGAGGAAGGTAGCAGCTCTCTGAAGCATGCTTGCTGAACATAGGAAGAGCATGACATCTTGCAAGTGCTGTTCCATCCTTCTCTTATTGATGAATATTTTAATGCCGTTAAAAACTGTGGGCTTACCCTAATTTCTGTTGAAAATTGGATTCTTCAGCTGTCAGTGTCCTTAAAAATTACTAGGACTGCTCACACAGTACACTGTGTAAAGAGGGTTGGCAAGGTCTTGGCCTTGGGGAGAAAAAATTAAATCCTGTAACAGAAAAATTTTTGGGACTTTCACTGATAATGGTTGAGGTGTGGGGTGGCCTTCCCTGACCTCCCAGTCTGTTCCTCTGTACTATTGATGGTTTCAGCTAAGTGGTATAGAGTAGATTTATGTGAAGATGGTGAAAAGGGTTTAGCTCATAACTGGCAAAGTGTTCTTAACATTTGTGGCATGTAAGGGAATTGTATTATTGATATTTAAACAACAATTCTGCTGACAGCATGAGAGCAGGTAGTCTGTGGGTGCAGCAGAATGTACAGAAAATGCTTACAGACTTCCTAAGTGCTGTATCCTTGTAACTAATTGCAGTCATCCCCTCTGTTACCTTGTTTTTTACAGCAGTGAATTGAAAAATGCCTGCAATGCCTGCCCCCCCCCCCCAAAAAAAAAAAAAAAAAGGAGAAAAGAATGAGTTAACATTTGTTAATGAGAAACTGCAGGAAAGGGATCACAGCAGGGATTAACAGGTAGATTTTTGCATTGTATTCTGGGATGTTTTTAATACGTACTTTGCAGGAAAAGGGTAGAATTCGTTAATCCTTCCCCTTTATTGTGAAAAGGGGGAGTTTGTAAAGCAATTTGACTTCAGTTTGCTTCTGCTTCAACCTTTGTGTCTGCATTTCAAACCAATTTATTTGTCACACCCTGAGGTGGTGGGCTGCTTTTTCTGAATCTGAACTGCTATTTTTTGCCCTGCAATAGGAGGCAGAAAGCTTAGAGGACACTGTGCCCTCTTCTAATCCCTTCTCTGCCCCTGCAGTTTTTCAGTGCAAGATCTAGATCAATGGGGAGTTGAAAATTGAGCAGGTGTGTCTCAGACCAATGGTCCTCACTGTAGTCATGTCCCACTGTTTTTTTTTTTTGACTGGTAAGGTCAGGGTGTCTGATCCTGGTGGTAACAACTGTGGCAACTCCATAGCAACTAGGAAACACTGACAGCAAATGGCTTCCCGCGTCAAACAGGCAAAAGGGCAAGATTTCTGCACTGGGACTAAATCCGAATCGACCAGATGTAGTGTTATCAATAGCTGGTAAGTTTGAAACACTGCTGTGTAGAAGTATTTGGAGTTATCTGGAAAAAAATAAGTCTTGTAAGTGTGCAATTGCCTTTGTTAGTGCCCTGTTTTATGCAGAAATAGAGGACCTGGCTCTTGGCAGTAACAGCATTGAATGTGTTTAAAATGTGCTCTAATGTAGAATTGATAGTTGCATTTCTTCATGAAGTATTACTAATTCCATCTTGTTTTGGTTTATAATAGGGGAGTTTGTGTAGTTGTGAAACACGTGAATATATTGTGTTGATTTGCTGACTTAAGGAAACATTTTGCAGCAGTTAATCCACTCATGATGGGTTTGGTGTGCTAGTTTTCTGAAATTATGTATATCTGAGAGTCATCGTAAAAAGGACTCGCAGATCATATCTCTTAGATAAGAGACAAAATGACATTTAAACATAATATGAGCACTTAAACTGTAGTTTGTAAAGTAAATTAGGCAGTTAAAACTTTTATATTGTTGAAATTCCATGCAGATTTTAAGCAAAGCATGCTGAACATTTCAAAGCAATATTTAAAAAAAAAAAAGAAAAAAAAAAAGAAAAAGAAAAAGGGATGGAAGCTTGTCTACTACATCTTGTCAGATTAACAGAGATAGCATCACATCGTCAGTCTTACCATGACAGCTTCTGAATAGTTACCACTTGTCAAATCTGAGCATCTCATTCTCTCTCATGGCAAGCCATAATCCTACTGTTATAAAACATGACAGGACAGCTGAAAGATCAAAATATTTCCTCTTAATACATCACTATAAATAAAACAAGTAACAGGCAACTGTAATCTAGCATCACGTTCAAAAACTGTCACGTTTACTCAGCCTGTCAACTTCAGCTGTAGTTTCTGTCTCGGCTTGTAAAATAGGGAAGGTTTGGCTGGGACTGTACTGGAAAGCTGTAGAGGTATTAGAAAAGAGAGCTGCGTGTTGCAGAAGGAAACAAAAGCTGGAGAGAGGAGAGAGGTGAAAGCTGTTGCTTTCCTGGGGATTTTCACAGCATTCCTAGTTTCCTTGGATGTTTCTGTCCTTCTACTACATCGGGATTTGGGTGAATGAAAATCACTGTAGTCAGTGATAGGAGTTCCTTTGACCAAATGGCAGTCTGGGTATTTTGAGTTCATTCCTTTTAAATAGAAATAAACAATAAAAACTACTGAGTCCTTGAGGTACACTGGAAAGCATTTGCTTGCTGGAAAATGCCAGTACATTGTCTCTTTTCTACCAACATGTCATGCCTGAGTCCTGCAGGTAGCTGCTTTTGCAAGAATGGCTCATTCGGAAGGGTTCCTGTCTACAGGTCACAGGTATTTCTGTGCGATGCCAGCTCTGGACAAGTTCTCATGTGCCAGCATCATGCCTACTGTCAATCCCTGCTGCAGGAGCTCTTTTGTAGTCCATCCTGCCTGGATTGTTGAGCCCCTAACCCCCCAGAGGTAAAACCAAGTTCTTGTTTGAGTCTGTGATTTGTTCTTTTTCATGATGTCTAATAGGATAAAACAGGCTGGTGTGTCAGTTTAATAGATTAGCAGCTTGAACATCATTTGAGCTTTACCCCCTCCTCCACTGGCAGTTTTTTAGATGGTATTAACTAAAGTGATTTGCTACCCTGGAGATTATGAAAAGCAAAGCCTGAGTAAACCTCCTATCAAGGCAATGTTCCTTTAATATTATTTAGACAAATAAAAGCATCTTGCGTTAGCAGCCGTTTCCTGTGAAATGTCTCTAATGCTTTGTGACAGGATTATTTTTCCTGTTTTCAGCTTGAATCTGTCATCAACAGCAGCTTCGTTGTTTACTTTTCTGTTGTTCCCTGAACGCCCCAGCGTAAACCGTCAGCTACAGTGCCCTTGAGTGTGCCTATCCTGTGCTCTGTGCTGGAAATGGATCCTTTCTCCTGATCTTGAGAGTTGTGTTGGCTTGCTGTGTAAACAGCAAAGGGGCTAGTGCAAGTAGTGCTGGGCCAGGATTCCAGCATACTCCTGGCTCACTTCCTCTAAGCCCAAACCCAAAGAAATCTGGGTAAAAATAGGTACTGGTTGGTTTTTGGTTTTGGTTGGTTTTTTTTTTTTTTTTCCAAAAGCAAGGAATTGTCCCAGGACAAGCAAGTTTTCTGTTTCTTCCCACATGCTTTGGCCTGTGGGAGTGCTACAAAATGAGGTGGAGTGATCCAGTTCTTAAATCTTAGAAGATATTTTTTTTCTTCATGACCTACAGAAGCTGTTTCTCCTAGTGCTGACCCATTTTCTTTTCTTCAAGGTGCCAATGGGTTAGCCAATGCCTCCCCTCCCCTGGCCCAGCATGGAAGAGGCTGAGTGCAACGGGGAGATCAGTGGGCTTAGACAGCGATGTCGCTGTCCTGGTGAGAGGGGAACAAGATGGATTTTATTACCGTGGTACAGTCAAAGAGGAGATAGAGGTGAGTGACAGCTGCTGTGTGGTAGTTGTGGGTGTGTGTAATAGGGTGTCCAGTCCACCAGCAGTCCTCACACATCACCTGAGTTCAGTGTAGCAGTTTTAATTTTGGCTGGTGCATGAATTAGAGAACAGATCACCAGGGCAGCTGATGCTCATGGTTATGTTAATTCATAAAGCTCTCAATGTGCCTGATTCCTGGCACACCAGGTGAGCCTCTTACATGCAGCACAGCCTCAGGCACCAACAACCTAATAATGATCAGATCCTTGCCCTGCTCAGCCCCCTTTGCTGAGTCCATTTCTAGGAGTGAGCAGGCATGTTTTGGGGATCTTCGTCTTGCCCAGAAGATGGGTGCCCCCCAACTCCGAGTGCCTGGTAAGAGCAGTGTTGTTGTGGACCTTGCAAATGCAGGCTTCTGCTGGCGCTGGGCGTTGAGCCAGGCTCAGGCAACGTGCGTGCTGTTGTGAGCAGTGTACCGGCTACTGTTGTGTGTAGACACATAACCATCAATAGCACAGGAAAAGTGTTAGTGTTTTATGTACACACTTCCAGCTTGAATCAGCTACAGACCAGTGGCTCAGTGTCTTTTCAGAAATGTTAGGGAAAGCTTTAATTCATGAGTTTGTTAGCACTTCAAACTTCAAACAGAAAAAAGAGCCTATTCTTTCTCAAGAACTGGGAAGTACCTCATTTCAATGTTGATGGAAAGCCTCTTGACAGGCCTTAATTTAAAAGAAAATAAAAATTTCCAACAGCCCTCCCAAGAAGCAGAGTTAGTGTTGTATGTAATGAGGAAGGACTTGGGCATGACTGAAGAACAGGCCTGAACGGCTTCAGTGTCCCTTGTTATCTGGTACACACGGTGTGGTTTGTGAAATCCGGTTGCACTCTTTCTCTAGCTTTTTCTCTTAGAGAAGAAAATACAGGTCCTAGCAGCAGTGAATCTGTATATATGCTTCACTCGGCCTGCTTTCTGGTGAGGTTTGTCTGGCTGTCTCAATGCCCTACTAACATCATACAATATTCAGTTACTGTTCAGGCTTGCTTGGTGTTTTGACCTAGCCACATATCCACGGAATGGCCTCCTGGTGAAGGTTACACGACCTAGTGCATTACAGACTGTTTTTCAGAAGAACTGTTATTTTGTTCCTGGTAACAGAGTGAAAGAGGCATGTTCCTGGTGGAGTTTGCCAAACCACTTGTGTCACGTGGAAGGCATCCAGTGTCTGTGCAAAAAACAGCAAAGGAGGACATCCTGGAATATGTGAATGGGATGAAGCACTCCTTACTCCCTGGAGACAAAGTACTGGCACCCTGGGAGTCAGATATGGCCAGGTATGGCCCAGGAACTGTCCTCACAGGCATTGAGACAAGGGACCCCTTACGAGGTAAGAAAGATGCTGCCCTCTTCTTCCTCACCTTGCTCTGTACCGCGAGTGAGACTGTCAAGTTGAACTCTTGTCACGGTGCTACTGCCAGAGAAACACCAGTGCGCAGACTACCATTTAGCGTTGCTTAAAGCTTGCAGGAGCTGATGGAACTCACTGATGGATATCTGCGTGTAACCTCACCAGTCTGACCCTAAGGAAGTTGTGACCCATAAAAATGTCATCTTCCGTGTCTGCAGGTGTGCTGTTTCCTGTCTGCTCGGACAAGGCTGTGTCTGCCATGGGAAGGACAGTGGCCTTTTCATGAGGGATGCAAGTGAGGCAGCTCTCAGGAAGCACCCATCTGTGCTTGAATGCTCACGTTTGTACTGAATGGTACATCTGGGCATATATATCTTTATCACCCAAACATAGGAGATTTCAACAGCTTATTAATTTTTCCCATGTCTGACAGTCAAGCTCCACCGACTGATCAAAATACTATTCTCAGAGCATTACTGCTACCTTTGGTGGTTAACAATAAAAGTTACTCGGTCAACATTTTCTTGTTCATCTGATGACAAACTGGGAGGAAGGATGCTGACAGGCCTGTTGTCACACTGACTGTGTCCTAGCTGGCTACTCCACCCTCCATGACATTATAGTGAGGTGTTACAGAGAGAGGTGATAGTTGATCCTACCGCTTGACAGGACTAGAAAGTGCATAAAGCTGCAAAGCCTGACCTGTGTATTTGCACTGCCCAGGCAGGCCAGCTGCTGATGGCTGCTTACCTTTTTTCTCAACAGCCTCAGAAGATGAAGAAATTATGGTCCAGTTCTGGAATGACAAGGAAGTGAAACTCCCACGAGGTGTGGCTCTGTGGATCCCTCCTAGCCTGTGGGAGAGGACTGTAGAGATGATCCATATGCCCTTCACCAGCAGGGTAAAGCCCAGAGAAAGTCAGGACATTGACTCTTTTGTTTTTTCCTGCAGTCCTAAACCAGCCCTGATTCCTGTTTGTGCTGTACCTAGCCTGGCCAAGCACTGCTTGCTCTGCTCACCCTGCTGGCCACATTTCCACTATCACTGTGTAACGTGCAGCTGCTGCTGTCATCCCCATGTTGATGCCTGGTGGCCCCTTCCATCCAGGTCTCTGGTTTTTCAGAGTGAAACTGAAGATGCAGAGTCAAGCAGCAAGCCCCCTCTGTGCCTTCTAGAACAGAAAGGCCTCAAACAAGAAGCAGCAGCAGCTGTGGAAGCATCTTCCCCCTCATCTGATTCAGAGTGGGACCTGGAGCCATTCCCCGCTAAGAGTACCATGGCAGACAGTGCTGTTAACACAGGCTGTGGTTGTCTTGAGAAGCCCAGGCGAAAGGATTCTGCAAGACCCGAGTGGAAGTACTGGAAAAGCCACCACCAGTCCCATCCCAGTAATTCAGGTACCTTGTAACACCCCCATAGGGAAGCAGCAGCCAGTGGGAAAAACCCCAGCTACATTCTGGATGCCTTTCATCTGGGCAGTCACTTCACCTTCGTTTATTGGTATAAGTACTATAAATTTCCATATCAGTCTCTGATACAATACTTCCCCCTCCCCAACATTTATGCTGTCTCATCTTGCATGCTAGCTCTTCTTTTGGGCGCTCATCCAATGGAAAACTACCAGAACAGTGAATTTCATTTGGAAGCATAGATATCCCTCTCTGAGTTTGTTCTCTATCATTTTCCTATGCTTTTTATGATGCTAACATGTTCATTAAACTTTGTAGCTAGTCCTGAAAGAATTCCTTTTGGGCTTAAAGTGCATTTCCCGCTCTTCTGAAATGAACGCTTTTCCATTTCAGTTCTGGTTTCACCCTTAGATACAAATTTACTCCTTCCCAGGACTCTGCAGTCACAGCAGCCCATGTCCAAAGGGCAAGCCAGAATCCAAAGCTGTCTCTGCTGGGGACGTGTCCTGTGTTGCCCTGACTAATCGGAGTACAGTGTTTGAAACCATCAAGGAGTTTCCCAGAGGGCAACTCACAATGAAAGAAATCTTCAGAGACCCAGATTTCAAGCTGTCATTGAGGGTAAGGTAATCTGTATTAATACTGTATTTATGTAAGCACACGGTTTGTTTCAATGAAAGAAATATTCTTGATAATGGAATGGAAGTTAGCTAGAAAAATACATCATTTCTAACTTAACTGCTTGCTAAGGCTATCTACCACTTTTGTGGTGGAAATAGGCAGGAAACTTCTCCACTAATTGAAACAAAACAAAAATCCCGAAACGCGAAGAAAGGGCTGAAACTACCTGGTGAAATGGAAAAGATTATGGCAGTAACTGTGAGCATTCAATAATGCTCAATTTCAATTCAGAAACCTGCCAAATGCCCAGTGACATCAACCCAATGAAGTCCTGTGGAAGTAGGGACCTACATGAGTGGCCCTGAAAATGGACGGATGTGACTGTCAGCAGCAATAAAACACAAGATTCAATCTGGAAAGGTGCTGGGCTCTGCCAGTCAGACTGGTAGTCGTGATCTCTATCTCTGAAAGATAAAAGCAGACTTTTTAGTGAACAGTCTTTACTGAGAATCTTCTCTCACTCCCTCAAAAGAAGCAAGCAGTTTATACAGCAGATCCCTACCCTGAAGCTAGGGGATACAGAGTAAATAAGTTGTGTCACAGCTAGGAACAAGGACAACACCCTGATTTTTAGGCCTGGTTTCTGTTGGCCATGGTCCCTCCTGCTTTAGAAAAACTTGAAAAAAAAAAATCAGAACATGAATGCCAAAAAAAGCAAGCACAGGAAAGAGGAAGAAAAAAGCTTGCAGGAAGAAGGGGAAGATGAAAGAGAATGGCAGGATGAACAGAATCACTGCTCTGCACAAGAGCATCAGGGGTACAATAAAAATTATATATCAGAAATCAAATATGAGCTTCTCTCTACCTTCATACTCTTGCTTCTGTGAGCTGACTGCAGAGTAAAACTTTGAATGTGCTAAACTTGCACGATTTTCTTTAGGAGAAGATGAATCTGTTAATGACATGTCTTAGCGAACAGAGAATATAGTGGAATATATCTTGTATTCTCACGATTACACACATTAATTTTAAGCAAATGTGTACCAACCTATAAACTGTATGGTTCCTATTTTATTATTTAAGCAATCATAATCACACACCTTTGTAATTGACTTCCTAGGAATTTTTAGGTCAGCATGGAGCTCCAGGCAGATGTGCTCTATGTTAGCAAGTGTCACAGCTGTGCACTGAAGTGACATGCTTTGCCTTTTGGTAAAACTAAGAAGCCAGGGTGGTTTCATTGTAGCCCCAAACTGGCAGCATGAATCACAACAGTGGACGCAACGTGGTAATACAGAGTATAATGACGCACTCTTATTCCTGTAAAATAGCCCTTGGTGTTTTTAAACCCAGAAGATACATTGCTACTCCTCGAGATAGCTGAAGCAATTTTATCATGTAATACAGACTGCATCAGGAGTAACCTGCAACAAACAAGTGAAGCAAGAGAGCAGCCTTCTCAGAGGTGCTCTCTGTGGGGCTAATGTCCTCCCACTGTACTCACCAAAAATCCTCCGAAGTTCTAAAGGAGCAAAGTTTTTGGTCAAAGCCTAACAGCTTCTGAAAATCCCTTGGTCTTATTTTACACGTCTGTGGTTCA